GCGGCGAAATGTGAAGTCCCCGCGAATCTGGTGGCAAAATGTCGCATCGAGTATATAGTTACTGGTCTAGTCGTATCTGTCAGGACATTCTGACCCATTAAGTGTTCTTGGCGAGAAAAATAAACGGTTCAAGTTCTTTTTCGACTCGTTTACAGTGAGACCTTCGCTCTCAAGTTTGTTAGGTAGATGCCAAGTTACGGTTGAGCGAAACCCGAACACCAACGTGTTTGGGTCGAACGTATAATGAATATGTTCAGTGGGCAAACCGAACATGTTCGGTTCGTCCCTAACATATTTTTTCTGAAATTAGTGTTCGACTGTTCACCTTTGTGGGTATGCCACGTATGTCTCGGCCTCCGGTGCATCCACACTCCACCACGCCACACTGCCCTTTACAACTCGAACGGCTGTACCGTGGGGTCTACGCATTGCTTCTCCAAGCATAGTCTGTTTAGCTATTGTTTGAATAGCCTACAAATGCGGCGAGATTTTGTAGCTGACTAAGATGTCGACCAGGGTGCGTCACGTACCATGAATTGAGAGCCGTGTGCCTGCGAACACTCACAGCGTTCAACCGGTGATGCTACTACGTAATAATCCTATGCCATCTTCTTCATCATGTCCATGCCCTTTGCATCTTCTTCATCATCCTACCAAGTCCTTGCACAAGTATTTGTCAATCTCATTCTCATAATCCCGCCCCCCAACCCCCCTCAAGCCGCCGCACTAGCCGCTGCTTTTCGCTGCATCCGGCTCTATCGGCTCCTAAGAAACTGCGTCTCCTCCGCCCCGTCCTCCTCTCCCTCGCCGTCCTTGTCCTGGGTCCACCGCGTCACTGGTGGAATGGGTGCTGCCCTTACTGCCGACTGTGGTGCGCCACTCTGATACTCCGCCTACCATGCACGCACCACCTGCAAGACCTCCTTTGGGCTCGATTACACCGCTCCCCCTCCCCCCCCCCCCCCTCTCTGGCATCTCCGCCCAAGTATCCACCTCAAAGTAGCGGGAGCTTGAAAACGGGGTCGAGGAAGGTGCAGATGAGTAGCTTGTCTGTGCAGTCGCTGTAATGCTTCTGCGGCGACGAAACCGCTTGCACCATAAAGGGTGTGGGGTGTGATTGTGCACGACGCTCGAGTGTGTTCAAGAGCTCGCTGTATCCCAGCAACACCATCGAGATTCGAGATGGTGGGGTACGCAGAGCCCTCAGTTGCAATGCAATGGTACGGGCGTTGATGGGTACTAGAATCTCTTTCAACGCCTCCAACGCTTTCAGTCTCAATGCCGCATACTTCTCCCTTTGAACACAAAGCCCCCCTGCTGGGATACGGGTTCAGAAAATACAAAAGATGACAGGGATGCAATGCAATAAAGCCAGGCATAAATTACAAGTACCTCCAACTTTGGAGGCGAAGTGATGGAAGCTCACCTGTGGCTGGACAAGTTGAGCTGTGATGGACCTGTGCAGGAGCAGCTACTGGAAGACCATCTGGTACATCGAGCCCGACCGCACTAGGCTGTCCTGCATCAGCTTCACTAGCCTACGCCATGTGCATTCACACACCCCTGGCGAGCTCCCAGTCCTTCGTGACCCAGAGTCCCATATACGAAATCCGCGCCTTAACGTTCTCACTAGGCCAGATGTCATCGCTGAAGGACACACCGCAGCCACGTGCATGATCCTGTGGTGCCTGCCAGCTCAAGAATCGCCATGGCTCTTGCCTGGTCAGCTCCCATCGCAACGTCTCGTGCGGTGGTCGAATGCGATGGGATCACCTGCTTCAACCCCGCAGACTGGGTTGCATGATTCTGAAGCAGCTCATGTGACTGTCAAGCAGGATTCTGAAATATCATAGCACCACTTTTATTTGTCATCCTGTTGGGTTAGGTATACTAGTGTCATCACGAAAGCATATGGCGCTACGAGGCGACAAGGCAAACATACAAGTCCCGGACACCCCTGGCCAGTGCGTGCCAGGGCGCACCGTGGAGCACGACGAGGGCCTTTTGCACCAAAACGATTTTAAACAACATGGGCTCCTTTATCAGGCTGTTGGCACCCCAAAAGTCACCTTTTGGCCCTGTGGCACCCCCTGCAAGTGCCCCTTTTGGCCTTTGGAAGCTCCCAGAATCCCCTGACGGCGAACTGGGAGCACTGCTAGGGGATGCATTCTTGGGACCAATCGATCCTGAAGACGGGAACCCGCCTGGTGTTTAGGGTTCATGCCTCTCCAAGTCGCGTTCGTTTCCGATTGGGTTTCAGTTTTTTTTTGCCCCTGCCTTAATCCACTGTTAAGGCTTCGTAGTGGTGCTACCAGCCCAGCCCGCATATATATATACTATACATATATATCTCAAACCTCCGTGTGTTCAGGTTGGTGGGAACGAAAAAACATGTCAAATCGGTTTGGTTGGACACACGCTTCGACAAGGGCCTCTCGAACCGCTTTGACTTGGGCCATACGAAAGCCCATACTTTTGTTTTGTTTCAATTCTCCCTTTCATTGTGGTTCTATGCACATTATCCACCAATCAGAAACTTGGAACGCAACCATCTGAGCGGAAGCTTGCCAGCCTTCTCGTACAGTCTCCTCGTCGGGGTGTAAGATTTGTCACACATCCATCCATGAGCACTGCCGCGCATTTGCCCTTGTTGAAGTTTTGTCTTTGTCGCACGTAACTAGTGTGTCTGCTTATTCTTCACTCGTTGGCTGAACACTGAATGACTGGCAAGCACGTTCAAGGGAATCAGCTCTCAGGCCCCCTTCCTGATTTTTCCCTCTGGAAGGCGCCAATTAAAATGATGTAAGTCAGCAGACCACATACCAACAACTTTGAAACCGGGGTACACATTCAACGCGCTCCGGGGAGAAATTTAGGTTTAGGTTCGCGATTCTTACCAAGATTCTAGCATTTCGTTGGTGGGGTGAAACAGAGTGGCAGGAGGGGGTGAAACGGTGGGGTTTGTGGGGGGGTAAACGAAATTGTGGGGGAGGGGGAACAAAATTTTAGGGGAGGGGGAGGCGGAATCACTTCACAATTGCGAAGCCCAACCAACCACAGGGTGAAAGCACACCACGTAACCCTTGATGCTCACGGGGGTGAATGTGCTCCCTAGTTTTAAGAGCATTGAGCATTAGAAGCGGCTTCCCCATTAACAGCTCCCCCAAACACGCTGTTCTTTTTCTTACCAACAACTTGATGCATTAAAAAATTGAAGCGGCTCCCGCTTCCTCCTACTCTCTCCCCCTTCTCTCCTCCCCCTCTCTCCTTTCTTTTTTAAGTTAATTGCATATGATATTTCGAGTGATCTTCCTTTTTTATTGGCCCCATGTGTGAGCAGGATGCTAGGAGATAACAAATTCACAGGGTCTATTCCAGACTCCATCAGCTCTCTCACCTCGTTGACTGCTGCGTGAGTGTTCCTTGTTCTCTGAAGATTCAAGATGGTGTTTAAGCCATGTTCTGCTGTGGCTTCAAGATACATAGGGGCTCCTTGATAGCTTCGTTCACAATTGAGTAACAGAGGAGAGGAGATATGCAGGTTCACCAGGATTGAGATGCCTCATTACAGCAGGGGTAAGGGTTTTGACAGATGGTATCCCCGTGCCACTGCAGCTGGTGTATGAATGGACATAATGGTTTGCTCCTTGCCTTTGTCGTCCATCACTATCTCATTTCTGCAATTTCTGTAGGTCCCTGCGCAATAATCAGCTCACAGGAAGTTTTCCTACGTCGCTGCTAGCCTTGACTGACTTTCAATCCATGTAATGGACACTGCTGCTTTGTGGGTTTTGGACGTCTCAAAACTTGGGGGCCTGTTATGGAACGCTTCTCTGCTCCCAATAATTTACCAATTCTTAGTAACTCCGTGCCACTTTGTTCCCAGCTCGTTATCAAGGCACTGTAACATGATTCTGCTTGGTCTCGGTTTTTTTCACTCTGTTACCAAGGCATTGTAACGTACTGCTGCTCTGCTTGCCACGTGTAACTATCTGAGAGCCAGATTCTATAGTAATGCATGCTTCGTTTCCATTGCCGTGTCGCTCTGTGACCCCCGTCTGTGTCTTACACCAGAGACCTTGCTTCAAACAGCATCTCAGGATCGTTACCCTCTGACCTTGGCGCCCTCTCCAACCTCCATACTCTGTAAGCTTACATACCCATCTTGAACTTGCTTGCATAATAGCATATGAATGTTGATGACTCTGATGATTGTTTTGCGAATATAGAACATAGAATGTAGACTATACCCACATGGTTCCCAAAACGTAATTGAAGTGCAACCACTGTGTGAGATACGATTGAGCGCAGCCACATGTGCAGCATTTTTGTTGTTTTCCCTCCGCCAAATAATTCCTATTATCTGCTCACTCAGGCTTTTACTCACATTATCTGCGTCTGGATGTTGGCGGCAGGTCTGTGTTCGAAAACCAGCTCACTGGAAAGCTTCCTTCATCCATATGCAACCTTACCAACTTGCAGACCATGTAATGCCTTCCGACCAACCCAGACGCCTTGCCTTTGAACCAAGCCACAGTACGCCCCTTCATTCTGCTTGCCTGCATAACTTACTGCTTTCAGTTGCTTTGTTGGCACTTTACATATGAAAACATGAACAACCTCAGCAAATTGATTAGGTTATGCTCACATCAAATGTACCTCATAGCGTTCACGCTCTTTTTTATATATGCTAATACTTACTAATCTGCTTGGTCATCCTACAGCCTGTTTTTGAAGACCAGAGAACTGTTTTTGTTTTTTTTTTTTAACTCGAGCTAAAACACCCATGTGCATTACTTTCAGGTTTCTCCACAACAACTACTTTTATGGAAAGTTTCCGTCCTGCCTCTTTGAACATTGTCTGCACCGAATGTAAGCAGCGAGCAGTGTCTCGACCCATGCACCAGATTTATATATCGCTATCTACATATGTGCAAATAAGCTCAGGGAAAAAAAAGAACACAGGATGACACCGAATGCTCACAAAAACGTGTTTTCGCATGTTGCCATTTCCACCGTTCTGCACTCCCTCCAGCGACATCAGCAACAACAGTTTCTACGGCCCCATCAACAGCAACTTCCGCAGCATGATTCCTGACAACGGCGCTCTACTCAACCTCGCAGGCAACTTCTTCTATGGCGACCCCATGCTCTACGCCGATGGCTGCCAGTTCTGCCCCTCCCATATCACCCAGTCTCATGTCTTGGACCTAGACGAACTCCATTTTCCAGCGCAAAGTCGCTGCGCACTTCGTAACCTGCAAAACTTTATTACCCAGAAAGCTCAAGGAGCAGATAAGCGGGGCGAAGCGAGCCTGCGGGAAAACTGTTTCACGCTGAACAAGCAGATGGAGTGCACGGCGAACGAGACGCAGCGCAGCAGCGACGAGTGCCTGGCATTCTGCAGCATGTCGCGGGAGCTGGGGCCGTGCGACGGGCACGGAGCGTGTGTGCCGCCGCAGGGGGGGGCAGCAGAGGCGCGCTTCATGTGTGAGTGCGACGACGGCTTCGTCCCCACCAACGGCACCCTCGGCTCCACCTGCGCCCGCCCTACTCCGCCCCCTGCTGCAGGTATGCTCTGTGATTGGCTAGGGAATGACAGCAGGATGTCTCGGGTTTTGGTTGCTTTGTCTGGTTACTCTTCTTAATTGTAACTGTTGTAACTGTTATGATACTGCCAGTGTGGCAATGGCTGAAGGATGTGTTGTTTGCAGGGCCGCTTAAGTACTTAACATCTTAACATGTGTTGTTAATTGTGGGGCTGAATCTCCCCATCTCTCAAGGTCTCCCCAAACTCTTTCTTCCCAAACTCTGTCTCGCCTCCTTGTTCTTCCGCCCCCTCCTCTCCAGCGCTCTCCACGGGTGCAGTGGTGGGCATCGCTGTGGGCTCTGCTGCCGCCTTTGCTCTCCTCCTCGCTCTCGTTGTCGCGCTGCTCTGGCCCCGCCAACGCAGTGAGACATCGCCCACCTCCCCTCTTACTATCCATCCGTCCCTTAAAGTCAATAGCTAGCACAGCTGTAGAACAAAACAGGACTCCTGTTTGTGTAACCTGTTGGTCAATTCTCAAAAGCTTCTTCTGTTGCGTGGCATGCTGTGTGGCATGGCAGGGCGGTGGAGCGACCTGGACGTGTGTCAGGAGTTCAGCATGGGGGAGATTCTGCGGGCGACAGACAACTGGGCGAGCAGCAATGTGGTGAGGAAGGGCGGCTTTGCCACCGTCTACAAGGGCGTGTCCAGCAAGGGCGAGCTGTGGGCTGTCAAGCGCATCGCACTCATGTCCAACGACTTCCAGACCGAGGTGAGGGGGAGAATCTTCCCGACCCAGGTGGGGGTAACTAACGAGTTGAGGGGGAAGGTTTCTGGTGTCTAGCTTGACTAAAGAAGAATCTCTGGGCACTTGCCATTCTCGTCACCTGCAGGTGCAGGGTGATGGTGTTAACTGAACCCCCCTTTTTCCATTTGGACTCGCCCACTCCTCCTTCCACACTAACACTTCTCCTACCACCCCCCTTGCCCCTTTCTTCTGCATAAACACGCCTTATGCCTCCCTCTCCACCACCTGTAGGTGCAGGTCATGGCGTCGCTGCGGCATGAGAGCGTTCCTTTCATCAACCCCCAATCTTTGGCTCGAACACTGTTTAATTCATCCGATGAGCTAGCAGGCGGGCATGCACTCCAAGAAGCCCTTCTGCACTGAGGTGGCAGGTGTGGGCGATGGCGACGCTGCGGCATGAGAACGTTCCTAAAACCTCCTCTCTTGTTCTCCTTCAACGACTCCTTGCCACGGGCAGGTGCGGGCAATGGCGTCGCTGCGCCATGAGCACGTGGTGCGCCTGTTGGGCTTCTGCCTGCATCAGAACGTGGAGAGCGGCCAGCAGGAGCAGATCCTCGTCTACGAGTTCGTGCCCAACGGGGACCTCAAGTACCACATCCACGACTCCAAGAGTATGTCCCTGCCTCCGTACATTTTGAGTGAATAGAGTGCCCTAACGGGGACCTCAAGTACCACATCCATGATTCAAAGAGTAAGCTTTCATTTTTTCTTTATTTTCTATCGTACTTTATCTCCACCTCTCTCTTTCCCCCATCTCCTCCCCTCAGCGCCTTTAACTTTGAAGCAGCGGCTGCAGCTGGCGGTGGGGGCAGCGGAGGGAGTGGCGTATCTGCACAGCTTCGCGACGCCCATCGTGCACCGCGACCTCAAGCCCGGCAACATCCTGGTGGGCGAGCACAACCAGGCCAAGATCGCCGACTTTGGGCTGCTCAAGCTGCTCAGCCACGCAGAGGGCGCCCACGACCGCACTCGAGTGGCCGGCACCCCGGGCTACCTCGACCCCGACTACAACCGCACCCAAGTCGTCTCCGACAAGAGCGACGTCTACAGGTGTGTGGGCCTTTACTTTGTGCCACCAATACTATGTCGCTTTGGCTCGTGAGATATGTGAATGCCAGCCAGGCAAGCTCCTTTTGAGGCGGCTAAAAAATGCAATGTCGCTTGTGGGATACATGAATGCCAGTCAAGCAGGCAGTGCTACAAGTCAAGCATCCTCGCCCTCTCTCCCACTCGTGTCGTACACCATTCTGCATCTACTTGTTTCGCATCTCCCCCATAATCTCTTAGCAATGGAGATGCAATGGAGGCTTTTCATCCACGATAATAAACTTCCTTGCAATTTCCCTGCGCTTTTATATTTCCTCATCTGTTCTCGCCCCTGTTCCCCCACCATTGTGGGAGCAGCTTTGGCGTGGTGCTGCTGGAGTTGCTGACAAGGCAGAAGGCAGCCGTGGAGGGCACAGACAGCCACATCAGTGACTGGGTGAGTGCATGCATGCATGGTGGAGCGAAGAGAGCACCCGTCGTGAATTCCATTAATTCTTTCCAGGGTAAAAAAAAAAGGTCGTAATTTATAAATTTTGCCGTAGAAAACAGTATCGTATGAAACAGGTTAAAAGGGTCCTAGGAGGTGTTTTCTGATTGGTTTAAAGAAACGGCAGTTTTATACGGTCGTTATTTTTAAACCAAGAAGGGCATCATCAACCCATGGGACCACACTGATGGTGAAATTGAGGAGGAAGAGTGATTCATCAAGTTCTATACACTATTGTTAGCGTTTTCTTGCATGTTTCCGTTTGTCGCCATGATTGGAAATCCATCTGACCTTTATTTTCCTTCTTTCTTTTTGTAATCAGAGTTCTCTAACAAAATAAATGTCGTAAAAAACGGAGCGTACTTTACGAAAACCGTAATTTTGAACCTTGGTTCTCAGAATGAGCAGGGGCAGAATCGAGGCTGATTGGAACGGGATTCCAACCGGCTCGCTCACCCAAAAAAAAATGTGTCGGCTCAAAGTCCTCTCTTTCACCTGGTGAATTACATAAAGATTAGACGCTTTCACGTGCTGCGTTGTATTGAACCCCCTCTACCCATGAAAGTGCATGCAAATGTGCAAGATGCATGTGTGTGAGCTGGCCGCCTCCCTTGTTCTCTCCCCCCCTACCCCCCCCCCCAGGCGGCGCGCAAGGTGCAACTGTATGAGCTGGCCGTTTCACAATCCTCCCTTGTTCTCTCCCCCCACCTCCCCTTCCCCCAGGCGGCGCGCAAGGTGCAGGTGTACTCGCTGGGGGAGCTGAAGGACGCGGGGCTGGAGGCGCCGGACGAGGCGGTGGTGGAGCTGGCAGACATCGCGCTGGACTGCCTCAAGATGCCCGCCTCGCGCCGCCCCCCCATGAAGGACGTCGCCCGCCGCCTCCACAACCTCCTCTCGCTCTACTGCAGCGATGGCGACAGCCACTCCTCCCTTGCAGAGCCCAGCCTGAGAGTGGAAGGAGGGGGTGTGGGGGGTGAGGGCGGCAGCACGGACACGTTTGGAAGGAGCGGGTGGTCGGAGGGAACGAGTGGAACGTCTGCTTCCAGGAGTCTCATCCATTCGTTGTCTGAGAAGTGGCGCATGATTGAATAGCACCAGCGGCAGAAAGAAGATCGACATTGCTTGTGCTTATAGGATCCATGGAAGTGCACTAATAGATCAAAGGCAGTACAGAAATATGGTACCGTGGCAGGGCATTATTGGAATTGTTATTGCGGCGATGAAAGCATCTCACAACATTTTTTGTGTGGTGGGGGTTTTGACCAGCTCCCAAGCTTGTTGAGCATTCTCGTTGAGAGTATACCGTATTTCCCCGGATATAGTTGCCCCCTTGGTTTTCGCCTCGGGGCTTAACATAAGCAAAAGGGCCGATAAGGCGTTTTTTTTCGATTTCGAGCCCCTACCCAATTCATAATACATGACGGCCGTGTGGGTGTTTTTCCATAATAGGCTAAAAATTTATTCAGATAAGCTCTGGGGCTATAACAAAAGAAATCCGAATAAATGCTCCCCCAAAAAAAATAAACTACTTGTCAAAGTATATGCATGTTATATATGTGTAGGCTGTAGTGGGGTAGCCAATATGGGGTACATCCCCTTTTAGGGTTTCATATTTGTACCCAATACTTTCATAGTTCAATCATTCCTGCTGCTAGATTCTAACATGGTATCAGAGCACTAGGTCCGTAGGACCGTTTTTTTCGGGCCCACCTACCGTTGCGGTTACCGCGCTACCCCACGTGTTGTCCTGCGCCTGCCTGCCTGCCTGCCTGCCTTGCCTTGTGACGTGCTGCGCTGCGCGCGCCGTCCTGCAGTCCTCACGCTGCCTACTGCTGCCCTAGGCCAGAGCGCCGCCCCTGCAGGCCCGTAAGGCCCGCGCGCCGCCCCTGCAGACACGTCAGGCCCGCGAGCCGCCCCTGCAGGCCCGTCAGGCCAGGTCGCCGCCCCGCGCGTCGCGCCCACAGCCCGCGCGTCGCGCTGCAGCCCCGCGCGTCGCGTCCGCTGCCCGCGCGTCGCGCTGCAGCCCCGCGCGCCGCGGCTGCCCCTGTTCGTCGCGACGCCCCCCCCCCTGGACGCCGCCCCCCCACTTCCTGACTGCCGCCGTCGCTCCTGCAGCAGCTGCCGCGGAGCGCCCTGCCACAGTCGCGGCCCCGCCCTGCAGCAACTGCCGCGGAGCCTTCTGCCGCCGTCGCGGCCCTGCCCTGCAGCAGCTGCCGCGGAGCCTCCTGCCGCGGTCGCGGCCCCGCCCTGCAGCCGTCACGTCCCCGCCCTGCAGCAGCTGTCGCGGACCTGCCCTACCGCCGACGCGGCCCTGCTCTGCCGCAGCTTTCGCGGCCCCGCCGTCGCCGCCGTCGTGCGCCTGCCCTTCTCGCCACTGGTGAGCACCTGCCTTGTTCGCGCACTGCCGCGCCACCTGCCTGCCTGCCTGCCACGCCTGCCTGCCTGCCTGCCTGCCGCGCCTGCCCTGCCCACTACTGCTACTGCTACTACTGGCGGTGGCCAGATGCAGCAGCTTAGTGAGTGGTACGCTAGTTGGGGTTGTGGCGGTAGCCGTCGTAGCTGTCGCCCTGGAGCTGGTCAGTTGGGAGCGTCTGGCAGTGGCCAGCTGCAGCTGCAGCGGCGTCCACGCGAGACACTTACGTCCCGGCAGCTTCACGAGTGGTACGCTCAGAGTAGAGGGTCTCGGAGTACCGTTCGCTGCCCGTACGTCATTCGCACAGGTGATCGGGCTGGTCAGGCTTGCGGGACACTTGGTCACACACAGTCCCGCTGCTTCGCCCGTCTGAGCGACGCCTGGCGTACCGAGTTTGGCGACGAGGCTGAGCTCCCCACCTGGCTGGAGCTGCTTGGGCAGATGGTAGATATCTTTGCTCTTGACTATGATGCTATTCTCACTGCCATGTATGCATTGCCTACTAGTGCTGACTGTGCCTGTTCCCTGTGCGTACCGCCTGACCCAGGTATAGAGCCTGCTGCTCTAGGTGCTGGTGAGGCTGCTGCTCTAGGTGCTAGTGCGTCTCCTGCTCTAGGTGCTGGTGAGGCTTCTGCTCCAGGTGCTGGTGAGTCTGCTCTCTCTGGTACTGCGACTGCTGAGGCCTTGTACACCTTCACACTTGACTCAGGTGCTTCTCGCTCCTTCTTTCACGACAGCACCACCCTCACGCCGCTCCGTCGGCCGGTTGCAGTCTCCCTGGCAGACCCCTCTGGGGGTCTAGTCCTTGCGCACTCCTCCACGGTCCTGCCGTGTCCGGCGGTCCCGTCTGGCTCACTGTCGGGACTCCACCTCCCCTCGTTCTCTACGAACTTGGTGAGTGGAGCTGACCTCCAGGACGTGTGGGTTGACCAGTTCACCCCTGGAGGTCAGCGCGTCACCCACTGTACGTGCTCCCGGACGGGCCGGCACCTGGCCACGTTTACCCGTGCGCCTGGCTCGAGTCTGTACACACTGACTACTGTGTCCCCTCAGGTCGCTGCGTCTGCGTCTGCGTCAGCTCAGCTAGCGGCCCCCTGCTCGTGTCGCGCTTTGTCGCACCTGACCCTCCTTTGGCACCACCGCCTTGGTCACCCCTCGGTGCAGCGCCTTCGTAGCATGCACCGCCGTTTCCTTGTCTCTGGACTTCCAGAGACTCTGCCTCCTCTACCACCCTCGCCTGCTCCTCCCTGTCTTCCCTGTGTCGAGGGGCGGCAGCGCGCCGCTCCTCACTCCTCCTCGTTCCCTCCCACAGAGGCTCCCCTGCAGACTCTCCACCTGGACGTGTGGGGCCCAGCCCGCGTCCGTGGACAGGGCCACGAGCGGTACTTCATGCTGGTCGTCGACGACTACACGCGTTACACCACGGTCTTCCCCTTGCGCAGCAAGGGGGAGGTCCCTGATGTTTTGATCCCCTGGATCCGTGCTGTTCGTCTCCAGCTCCGCGAGCGGTTCCAGTCGGACTTTCCTGTCCTGCGTCTGCACTCTGACAGAGGTGGTGAGTTCTCCTCAGACCTCTTGGCAGCCTTCTGTGCGGAGCACGGCATCCGCCAGACGTTCACGCTTCCGGCCTCTCCGCAGCAGAATGGGGTTGCTGAGCGCCGCATTGGCTTAGTCATGGAGGTCGCTCGTACCTCCATGATCCATGCGGCTGCCCCCCATTTTCTGTGGTCGTTTGCGGTCCGGTACGCCGCGCATCAGCTCAACCTCTGGCCCCGTGTCTCCTTGCCGGAGACCTCGCCCACACTGCTGTGGACGGGGAAGGTTGGCGATGCATCGCGTTTCCGGGTCTGGGGTGCTCGTGCCTTTGTCCGCGATACCACCGCGGACAAGCTCTCCGCCCGCGCTGTTCCCTGTGTCTTCCTTGGCTTTGTCCCTGACACGCCTGGTTGGCAGTTTTACCGCCCTGCATTCCCTGTGTTGAGGGGCGGCAGTGCGCCGCTCCTCACTCCGCCTCGTTCCCTCCCACAGAGGCTCCCCTGCAGACTCTCCACCTGGATGTGTGGGGCCCAGCCCGCGTCCGTGGACAGGGCCACGAGCGGTACTTCCTGCTGGTTGTCGACGACTACACGCGTTACACCACGGTCTTCCCCTTGCAGCGCAAGGTGGGTGTCCCTGCTGTTCTGATCCCTTGGATCCGCGCTGTTCGTCTCCAGCTCCGTGAGTGGTTCCACTCGGACTTTCATGTCCTGCGTCTGCACTCTGACAGAGGTGGTGAGTTCTCCTCTGACCTCTTGGCAGCCTTCTGTGCGGAGCACGGCATCACCCAGTCGTTCACGCTTCCGGCCTCTCCACAGCAGAATGGGGTTGCTGAGCGCCGCATTGGCTTAGTCATGGAGGTCGCTCGTACCTCCATGATCCATGCGGCGACTCCCCATTTTCTGTGGCCGTTTGCGGTCCGGTACGCCGCGCATCAGCTCAACCTCTGGCCCCGTGTCTCCTTGCCGGAGACCTCGCCCACACTGCTGTGGACGGGGAAGGTTGGCGATGCGTCGCGTTTCCGGGTCTGGGGTGCTCGTGCCTTTGTCCGCGATACCACAGCGGACAAGCTCTCCGCCTGCGCCATTCCCTACGTCTTCCTTGGTTTTCCTCCTGACGCGTCTGGCTGGCAGTTTTACGACCCTGCCTCGCGCCGTGTCTTTGCGTCTCAGGACGTCACCTTTGACGAGTCCGTCCCCTTTTACCGTCTCTTTCCCTACCGCACTGCCTCTCCCCCCCCCCCCGCCGCTCTTTCTTGCTCCAGGTCCTCCCCAAGTAGACCCCCTCCCCGCGCCAGGTCCTGCTCCTTGAGGTGTCTCTCAGGTAGACCCTCCCTTGCCTGCGCCTGTTGAGGTCACTGGTGACTCTAGTCCTGCTGGGGGTGCGGAGCTTGGGGGGTGCTGAGCCTGGGGGTGCGGAGCTTGGGGGTGCTGAGCCTGGGGGTGCGGAGCCTACGCGTGAGGAGTCAGGAGGTGATGAGCCTGGGGATGCGGAGTCTGGGGGCGCCGAGCCCGAGCGTGAGGAGTCTGGAGGTGCTGAGCCTGCGCGTGGGGAGCCTGGAGGTCCTCAGCCTGGGGGTGCTGTGTCTGGGGGTGCTGAGCCCGAGCGTGAGGAGCCTCGGGGTGCTGAGTCTGGGGGTGCGACGCCTGAGGGTTCTGAGTCTACTGTTGCACGGTCTCCTTGGATTAGCCGCCTTCGTCCGCGTGTGCCTCTCACCTCACAGCAGCTGCACGACTGGTACGGTCGCCGTCAGGGTCGCGCTTCTGGAGCTCAGGGCTCTGCCGCTGGAGGTACTTCTGCTGACGTCACTGGAGCTGGGAGTGGTGCTGGTCCCGGAGGTGCTCGTACTGGAGGTACTGGAGCTGCTGGGGCTGGAGGTGCTGAGCCTGAGGGTGCTACTGCTGGAGACCCTGGGTCTGGGGGTGCTGCTGCTGGAGGCACTGAGGCTGGAGACCCTGGGACTGGAGGTGCCGGGTCTGGGGGTGCTGCTGTTGGTGGAGCTGGTCCTGGAGGAGCTGGCGCTGAGGGTTCTGGAGCTGCTGGAGGTGCTGGAGCTGCTGGGGGTACTGGAGCTGTTGGTGCTGGTGTCACTGCACAGCCGCGCCTGTTCTTCGCTCCACCATCTCCGTCGTCTCAGCCACCGCCTGACTCTGTGCTTTGCCAGGTTCTTAGTCTCCCTTCGTCTACTGGTCTTCCGTTACAGCCTGGCTCACCGCTGCCTGCTCCTTCTCCTTACACTGAGCAGCTAGGGGGTCTTACTGAGCGTCGTGAGCCTGCGTCGCGTCCTGTCTCGCCTGTCTGTTCTGGTCGTTCCGGTCGTCGTGTTCCTCGTCCGCGTCTGCCGGCTGTCCCCGACACCCACCTCATAGTCCGTCGTCCTTCCTCTCCTCCGCAGCGTGTTCCTCTGCCGTCTCCTCCTGCGTCTTCTCTGCCTGTCGTTGCGGACCCCGAGTCTGACCGGTTTCGTGCTGAGCACCCTACTGTCACGCGTGTGCTAGCCACAGTTGTCACTGACCCGTCGTTTGAGTCTGCTGCTGCGTCTGCCTTAGTCACTGAGCTTGTTGACTTTGCTGCTGCCTGTCGTCTAGACTACGCCGCTAGTCTTGTTGCTGAGTCTGAGTCTGTCTGTCCTCCGTCCGTCGGGGGTGAGTGTGCTCTTGGCACGGACGTCCTTGAGGACAGGCAGGAGGACCTTGAGTGTCTTGCAGCCGCTGCGCCTCATCTCGTGTCCATGCTGCTTGCCCATGAGGGAGACCCGGATGCTCCAGACATCCCGACCCCGCGCTCTTACGCTGAGGCGATCGCGGGTGAGTACTCCTCTCAGTGGCAGACAGCCATGGACGCAGAGATGGCATCCTGGAAGTCCACAGGCACCTACGTCGACGAGGTTCCCCCTCCTGGGGCGAACATCGTCAGTGGCATGTGGATTTTCAGGGTGAAGCGGCCGCCAGGTTCTCCGCCTGTCTTCAAGGCTCGTTACGTTGCTCGAGGTTTCAGTCAGCGAGAGGGAGTTGACTTCTTCCAGACCTTCTCCCCCACCCCGAAGATGACCACTCTTCGGGTGCTGCTGCACGTTGCCGCTCAGCATGACTACGAGCTTCACTCTCTTGACTTCAGCACAGCTTTCTTACAGGGCAACCTGCACGAGGAGATCTGGCTGCGCCGCCCACCTGGCTTCACAGGGTCGTTTCCTGCAGGTACCCAGTGGAGCCTCCGGCGGCCGGTCTACGGTCTCCGCCAGGCGCCGCGTGAGTGGCACGACACACTGAGGACGACACTTGCGGCTCTTGGGTTTGCTCCGTCGACTGCTGACCCGTTGCTGTTTCTGCGCACCGACACTTCGCTGCCGCCGTTCTACATCCTCGTGTACGTCGACGACTTGGTCTTTGCCACTGCTGACACTGAGGCTCTCGCCCTGGTGAAGTCGGAGCTGCAGAAGAGACATACGTGTACAGACCTGGGTGAGCTGCGCAGTTACCTTGGCTTGCAGATCACCCGGGACAGAGCACGCCGCACCATCACACTGACTCAGTCACACATGGTGCAGCAGGTCCTTCAGCGCTTCGGCTTCACCTGGTCCTCGGCACAGGCCACTCCTCTGGCTACAGGTCACTCGCTCTCAGCTCCACCTTCGGACGAGTCCGTAGAGCCGAGTGGTCCTTACCCAGAGCTAGTGGGCTGCCTCATGTACCTGATGACCTGCACTCAACCTGACCTTGCGTACCCTCTTGGCCTTCTGGCTCGCTACGTGGCTCCTGGTCGGCACCGAAAGGTGCACATGGATGCTGCTAAGAGGGTACTACGCTACTTGTGCAGTACATCGGGCATGGAGCTCGTGCTTGGAGGACGGAGCGACGTTGTCCTCACCGGGCACTCAGACGCTTCTTGGGTTGACGACCAGGCTACGCAGCGGTTGTCACAGGGTTACACCTTCAGCCTTGGCTCTGGTTCGGTTTCTTGGCGTTCTACACGCTCGTCTTCAGTTCTCAGCTCCAGTTGTGAGGCTGAGATCTACGCCACAGCCATGGCTGCACAGGAGTTACGCTGGCTCACCTACCTGCTGACCGACTTGGGAGAGCGGCCTCGTTCTCCTCCAGTGCTGTACGTCGACAACAAGGCTGCCATTGCCTTGTGTCAGGAGCACAGATTGGATCACAGAACGAAGCACACCGCTCTGCGTTACTTCCTGGCTCGAGAGTTGCAGCAGCGTGGTCAGCTTCGTCTTGCTCACGTGGCCACTCGGGCCAACACTGCTGATATATTCACCAAGGCGCTTCTGTCTGGTGATCATCAGCGTTTCTGCACTCTGTTAGGCATTGTGCCCACGTTTCCTCACTTGCTGTAGACTTTGTGTGTACTGTGATCTATATATATACCTGCATGCTTGCTCTGCTAGGTCGAGATCACTGTGCTGTTTTTGTTGCATATATACCTCTGCATGTGAACTGGCCTTGTGGCCCTTTGCTTGTGCTCAGTGTGTGTGGTGACGTTGTGATCCACCCTGAGCTTGCTTTGCTTCTCTTGACTGGTCTTGTGACCCCTTGCTCTCCCCCACTTTGCCTATGGGGGTGTGTCAAAGTATATGCATGTTATATATGTGTAGGCTGTAGTGGGGTAGCCGATATGGGGTACAGCCCCTTTTAGGGTTTCATATTTGTACCCAATACTTTCATAGTTCAATCATTCCTGCTGCTAGATTCTAACACTACAGGCTACTAGGCCCCTCTATCTGGGGGGATACGGTATGTGCCCACATGTAGACGAACTTAAAAACGTGGTCTGGTTCTTAGGGCGTGTTCCTACGCCTCATATCAGGCAACTCATATCAGACTTGCCTGTTAAAACTAGCGAAGGATTTTGGGTTTCGGGGATTTTTCTGTGCGAGCCTGATATGAGGTTCGCTTGATACGAGGCGTAGGAACACGGCCTTATACGGTCTTCAATACCAAGGATGTCATTGTGGTCGTACTGTGCAGCATGCATGTACATCAAGACAACCAACGTAGCCAATATGCCTTGGCCAGGCTCATGGATGGGGAAAGGTTCCCGGTCATGCACATTCACATGCACCGTTGATGGCCCAATATGCCGGCATTGCTTCTCGGGATGACCAAGCTTTTGCGTGGCAGGGATCATGTCTTGCCACGACAACAAATCCCCAGCCACGATGGCTCCTTGACAGGGAATCAAAGGCACGTCCATTGATTCCCCGTAGAAGAGGCTGAACTGCGGCTTTGCAGGGGCCTCGACTGGGGCCTCAAATAGAGCTCATTTTCAACTAGTTTGACAGTTGGATTTCTCACACTTTGGTCTAATGTGTTAAGAACCATACTTCTACTCTGAGTGAGGAAGCCATGGCTACGCTGCCAGACACTCAGTTTCTATTCCATCGTCCTTCCGCCAATCGAGCACTAAGCTTTCTCTCATGGCTCAACCCTGACCCATGACCCAATGGTCCGCCAGCACCACTTGCCCCGCCAGCACCACTAGCGCTGCCTGCTCCTCCTGCTCCAGCTCCGCACCCCATCACATGCTGTCCATATCGGCAAACAACTCATTTGGTTATATTGTTTTTTCCTGTTTACGCCCACGAATGAGGCGCAAGACGATGAACCTGATGGTGATGCTGGCAAGACCCAATTAATTCGATAATACGCCGCCGCGCTGGGGGGTGGTGGAAGACTGCCCATGGAACATTCTGCTGCCGTCGAGGTGGACGAGAAGAAATTTTGGTCGCGCTCAATGGGTTACCCAAGCATCTTTCTATTCCTCATTTTCCACTTCCTACTGTCATCGCCCGGATATATGACATATATGTCTTATCTCGTACACGGGCAAAAATGCTTGGGTTGTCTTGTATTTGGGACGGTTTAGGGTGTCTTATAAGTCTTATAAATGGACAAAGAACCGTTTACAAGATACCCCCTCGTTATACAATTGCCCCTAACCCCTACACTAGCTTAACTCGTACAAAAAAATAGGTGTCTTATAATGAGGCTACCCGTTTATAAGAGACACCCGGATAATAGACACCGCTTGTCTTCTATTCAACACTGTCTTATATCCGGGTGATGACGGTAGCAATAATCGGCCCCATCTTTTGTGCAAGAATTGTGTTGTCCCTCCCCCATCTCCCAGAAACAGACCATCGATGAGGAAGAGGCATGCCTACATTGCGGAAGAAAATTTGAAATGGATTGTGCGTTTAGAAGAGGTGAAGGTGAGTGAGGCGTTTCGCAAGCAGCTGTCCGCGTGGAAACAAAACGCCTCTATGGCTAGAGATGCCAATGGATCACACAGTTGAGGAGATCAGAAATACGCCTGCCCCTACCAAAGGAGAGGGTTACGGTGATGCCCAATGAAACAGAATCCAACGTGAGGCTCAAACCGTGGGTAATTTTTGAACCTTTGTGAACCCCCCACACGGAGATATCCTGTTAGGTGGTAAACACAACTGGTTCACATCACAAATACTTTTGCCTAGAAGGTATTCATACTTCTAAAATGGGTGTAGTTATAGTCGACACGGCACAGCCCAAGCAATGTCGATCTTCTTTCTGCCGCTGGTGCTATTCAATCATGCGCCACTTCTCAGACAACGAATGGATGAGACTCCTGGAAGCAGACGTTCCACTCGTTCCCTCCGACCACCCGCTCCTTCCAAACGTGTCCGTGCTGCCGCCCTCGCCCCTCACACCCCCTCCTTCCACTCTCAGGCTGGGCTCTGCAAGGGAGGAGTGGCTGTCGCCATCGCTGCAGTAGAGCGAGAGGAGGTTGTGGAGGCGGCGGGCGACGTCCTTCATGGGGGGGTGGCGCGAGGCGGGCATCTTGAGGCAGTCCAGTGCAATGTCTGCCAGCTCCACCACCGCCTCGTCCGGCGCCTCCAGCCCCGCGTCCTTCAGCTCCCCCAGCTCGTACACCTGCACTTTGCGCGCCGCCTGGGGGGGGGGGGGTGGGGGGAGAGGGGGCGGGTAACGAAATGGTGAGCTCATACACATGCACCTTGCACATGCGCATGCACTTTGTCACGGAAAGGTGAAAGAGATGAATTTGAATCTACCCAAAGAAATCATAGCAAATGAGATGAATTTTTAGTTGACTCGAAGAACGCAGCGTGAAAGTGCAGAAGGCGGTAGTCAATGATGAGAGGAAGGCGGGTGGACTAAGGAAGGAACTGGAGCAGGTCTTGCATGCCCCCTACACCCCTTCTGAATCAGCCTTGCTTCTTTCCCTGCTCAGCTTAGAAACCCATGGAATTAGCCACGTGTGCTCCCACCACGTGTGCTCTCACCATGCATGCATGCATGCACTCACCCAGTCACTGATGTGGCTGTCTGTGCCCTCCACAGCTGCCTTCTGCCTTGTCAGCAACTCCAACAGCACCACGCCAAAGCTGCTCCAACACATATGGACAGGTTGTGAAGAGAACAGATACGAAAATGCACAAAATAGTGAGGGGGGAAAACAAGAGAAGGACTGGCACAGGTAAGAGAGCGAACGAAGGGTTTGAGTTGCAACGCAGCTTTCTTCACTGGCATTCAGAAACGACACGAGGGAGCATAGTCAGGGCGAGAGCATTGCCATGATGTGCGTGGGCACCTGTAGACATCGCACCTGTAGACGTTGCTCTTGTCGGAGACGACTTGGGTGCGGTTGTAGTCGGGGTCGAGGTAGCCCGGGGTGCCGGCCACTCGAGTGCGGTCGTGGGCGCCCTCTGCGTGGCTGAGCAGCTTGAGCAGCCCAAAGTCGGCGATCTTGGCCTGGTTGTGCTCGCCCACCAGGATGTTGCCGGGCTTGAGGTCGCGGTGCACGATGGGCGTCGCGAAGCTGTGCAGATACGCCACTCCCTCCGCTGCCCCCACCGCCATCTGCAGCCGCTGCTTCAAAGTTAATGGTGCTGGAGGGAGGAGAAGGGGGAAGGAGAGGGGTGGAAGGAACGAAACCACGAGGAACAAATTCGTGATTGAAGAGAGCGAGTGGCCAATGGTGGCCCAAGTAGGGATGGTGTATGTCTTCACAAAGCTTACTCTTTGAATCATGGATGTGGTACTTGAGGTCCCCGTTAGGGCACTCTATTCACTCAAAATGTACGGAGGCAGGGACATACTCTTGGAGTCGTGGATGTGGTACTTGAGGTCCCCGTTGGGCACGAACTCGTAGACGAGGATCTGCTCCTGCTGGCCGCTCTCCACGTTCTGATGCAGGCAGAAGCCCAACAGGCGCACCACGTGCTCATGCCGCAGCGACGCCATCGCCCTCACCTGCCGGTGGCAAGGGGGGGTTGAAAGGATAATAAATGAGGGGTTTCAGGGACGTGCTCATGCCGCAGCGACGCCATCGCCCACACCTGCCAGTGGCAAGGGAGGGGTGAGGAGTGTTAGTGGAGAAGCAAAAGAGGCTTTAGGTGACATTCTCATGGCACAGCGACGCCATCGGCCGCACCTGCCAGTGGCAAGGGGGGTTGAAACGGGGTTAAAGGAGAAAAAAAGAAGGGACTAAAGGAACGTTCTTATACCACAGCGACGCCATTGCCCGCACCTGCATGCCACCCCAGGAAGGCACAGGAATCGGAGGTTCAAGGCATCTTGGAGCATAAGACATGGAAGGTTATGCCACTTGCATAACCCACACCTGCATACCACGCCGCTAGAAATTCCCCCCCCCCCCACTTGGTTCTGCAAGACCCCCCCCACGCTACGTGGCTCAAGAAGACTCTTCCCCCCACCTCGGTCTGGAAGTCGTTGGACATGAGTGCGATGCGCTTGACAGCCCAGAGCTCGCCCTTGCTGGACACGCCCTTGTAGACGGTGGCAAAGCCGCCCTTCCCCACCACATTGCTGCTCGCCCAGTTGTCTGTCGCCCGCAGAATCTCCCCCATGCTGAACTCCTGACACACGTCCAGGTCGCTCCACCGCCCTGCCATGCCACACAGCAAAACAGCATGCCAAGATGCTCATCAGCACGCAACACCCGACGTGTTTTAGTTTTTCCATTGACCAACCAAAAAGGGATTTTGTTTGGTTTAAGTTTGACTGATGGATGGATACTTGGAAAGCGGGGATGTGGGGAGGGCCTCACGGCGTTGGCGGGGCCAGAGCAGCGCGACAACGAGAGCGAGGAGGAGAGCAAAGGCGGCAGCAGAGCCCACAGCGATGCCCACCACTGCACCCGTGGAGAGGACTGGAGGGAGGGGGGGGGGGGGGGGGTGGGGGGGGGGGGGGTGGAGAAGAGGGGAGGGTGAATTTGAGGAGAAAAGAAGGGAAATGGGGAGTTTCAGATCCACAACTAGCATGTTAAGATAGGTGACTGCCTAAGCCGCCTTACAGGCAACACATCCTTCTGCCATTCAAAGGAATATGACAGAGCACACCTGGTTGAGGGGGCGGATAAGGGTACACCTGCAGCAGGCGGCGGAGTAGGGCGGGCGCAGGTGGAGCCGAGGGTGCCGTTGGTGGGGACGAAGCCGTCGTCGCACTCACACGTGAAGCGCGCCTCTGCTGCCCCCGCCTGCGGCGGCACACACGCTCCGTGCCCGTCGCACGGCCCCAGCTCCCGCGACATGCTGCAGAATGCCAGGCACTCGTCGCTGCTGCGCTGCGTCTCGTTCGCCGTGCACTCCATCTGCTTGCTCAGGGTGAAACAGTTCCCCCGCAGACTCGCCTCGCCCTGCTTGTCGGCTGTTTGCGCTATGTCCATAATGCAACCTTGATAGTTACGGAGTGCACAGCGGCTTTGCCCTGGAAAGTTGAGTTGAGATAAGTTCAAGAGATAAGACTGGGTGATATGGGAGGGGCAGAACTGGCAGCCATCGGCGTAGAGCATGGGGTCGCCATAGAAGAAGTTGCCTGCGATGTTGAGCAGAGCGCCGTTGTCAGGAATCATGCTGCGGAAGTTGCTGTTGATGGGGCCGTAGAAACTGTTGTTGCTGATGTCACTGCATGCATTGAGAGTGGTGGAAATGACAACAAGTTTGGTGTTGTCCGGTGCCATCCTTTGTTGTCCATTCTTTCCAAGCTTACTCACACATGAGCATCTGCCTAGATGGAAATAAAAAAAGGTGGCGCATGGGTCAAGACATCGCTTGCTGCTCACATCCGGTGCAGACAATGTTCAAAGAGGCAGGACGGAAACACTCCATAGAAGTTGTTGTTGTGGAGGAACCTGAAAGCAATGCATATAAGGTAGAATATAGATATTCATATAAGTTATTTCAAACCACACAGGGCATTTACAATACGATGGATAACCAAACGCATTTGAAAACGTTGATGTTTCTTTTTGCAATTCTTTTATGAAAGGGGGTGAATTGTAGGAACTATATTTATATATATATTAATTTTTTTCTATATTTTCAGATGCAAATTGCACACATGAAAGCTGGCGAACAAAGCAGCTGAAAGCAGTCGGGTACGCAGTTAAGTGGTAGGTTGGTCAAAGGGCATTACATGGTCTGCAAGTTGGTGAGGTTGCATATGGACGAAGGGAGCTTTCCAGTGAGCTGGTTTCCAAACACGGACCTGCAAGCAACGTGCAGCAGCAGTCGTTGTGAGTAGTAGTACTAGTGAGCAGAAAATAGCAATGATTTGGCTGAGGGAAAACGAAAAAGTAGCTGCACATGTGGCTTTGCTCGACTATGTTCTACGCAGTGGTTGCAAATTTATTTAAGTTTTGGGTGCCGTCTGGCTACGAAACTATATGCCACGTTTACAAGCTATGTCGAGAGCGAGGATTTGGAAAAACGAATGGGAGTCTCCAATATAATACGTCGCTAGGCAAGTGAGTGTGTGATAGGTGTACAGAGTATGGAGGTTGGAGAGGGCGCCAAGAGCAGAGGGCAACGATCCCGATAAGTTGTTTGAAGCAAGGTCTCTGGTGGAGGTACATGGATGACACACGCCGTGGGTCGCACAGAGAGACCGCAATGCAAATGAACCATGCATTACGTGGCAATAAATTCACACCATCAAGGCTCAAAATTATGATTTTCATGAAATACTGTTCGTTCTTCACAGTAAATTCTCAGAAAAAAAAAAAAGAAAAAAAAAAAAATCGTTTTTTTTGTTTGTCTCTCTCTGTCACCTAAAGAGAAGAGAAGAAATAAAATAATTTGAAAGATGTACTTCCATTCATGGCCACAAAGGACTTGTTCAAGTTGTGTCTACATGTAAAAGAATTCATCCTGCGCCTCCTCTTTCCAGTGCCACTTTCACCATCAGTTTGGTCCCACTGGGTGGTGGTGCCCCTCCTGGTATTAAAAAAACGACCGCATAGAATGTTTCATCTTCTTTAAGCCAAACAAAAAACACCACCTGGACTGGAACTGTAATAATTCGTTTGAACGACCTTTTACACGATACCGTTTTTAACGGTAAATCTCAAATCAACGGCCGTTTTTTTTTCACCCAGATCCACATGCACATGGTAAAAAAACCGGCATTATTCTATGTTGAGTGCAATACATGGTTTGCACGGCAACCTACCGCCTATTCGCCGACGGTAAAAGAAAATGGGGAGTTTTGTTTGAAGGTAATTTGTGGCGTGAGAAATGTCATTTCATTTTTGCATTTTGTGTGTGCGCATTTTGTTTGTGTTCTGTGCGCATTCGTCCTTGCAATTTGCGTGTTTCGTTTTCATTCGTAATTGCATTTTGTGTTTGTGCATTTTCAGTTTCGTTTTCACTGTTCCCATGAAGCGCTCAAATGAGGCTCCCATGACGCGCTCAAATGAAGCTCAAATGAAGGCTCAAATGAAAGCTCTTATGAAGCTCCAATGAGCCTCAAATGAGCTTCCCATGAAAGTCCCATTTGTTTGTTATGTTTCATGCGTGGCATATGTGAGCGAGTGATGTACCGTGGGGTGTTTCTGTGGGGTCGATAGTTTGACTGGGGTGGAATTGACTTTCGCCCTGGACCCTTGGAGGTGACCCCGTGGGGAGTATAGAATTGTGTGTTTGCGATGCGACCAAATCCTTTATGAGTGAAGATTCCTCTTACAACGTATTGACGTGAAGAGTAAAATTCTGCACACGAGCCAATCGATTGACGAAACGCTGCGCGAATGACTATGGGAATACTCTAGTGCCCACAATTGAATTCGCACTTGGTGGTTCTCTCCACAAACATGGAACCTTGGTTAGGGGCTGGTTATTATGAAGCACCCAAGTAGATATGAGCACGAACCGAACTCAAAAATGTTTGTGCAAACCTTTTCGAACCTTGCATGTTGGTCGAAACGAACCGAACAGGTTTGCTCGAACTTTTTTCAGACTTTTAAGGTTTGAGGTTTGAGTATACAATGGCGAACCCTAAAGGTTTGCTCAAACCTTCTAAGGTTTGAGCGAACTCGAACCTTTTCAGGTTTGAGGCTTAAAATGATGCACATGTTACTCTACAACACATGCATGTCTAATGGTTTATGGACAGCATCATGTTCTGAGAAAAAGCAAATGAGAGGGTAAAAAAAGTCCCGACACTCCAATCAAGAAAAGTCTAGAGTTCATCTAGATCTAGATCTACTCTGCTCTGCTACAAGTCTAGGGTTGGCTGCCTTCAAATGGCAGCCAACCTACGACAATCCCGTTTTTGACGGGAAAGTCGCGATGGGTTTTTTCTGGTGGGAATTAAATTCGAACCCCTCGCGGTTCGAATTTCACCCTTTCGAACTTCGAACCTGTTCGGTTCGAGATAACTCGAACCGAACTTCTCGAACCGAACCTAAGTTCGGTTCGTTGCTCATATCTACACCCAAGGACCCTGGGGGGTGACCCCGTGGAGACCATCTCGTCTGAGTTAGTCGGTGCACATAGAGCCTTCTAGATCCCACCCTAACAGTTGAGGGGGGGGGGGGAGGGAGAAAAGGGTGCTGGACAATATAAGAACGAATTTTGCGTGTTTGGGGGTACACTTAACGTGGAAGCCACTTCTAGTTGTCAATGCTCTTCAGAATATGATTCATGCGTGCAGCTGTAGGTCAGTCATTGGCTTACTCACATAATGGTAACAGGCGCCTTCCAGTGGGAAAAATCAGGAAGGGGGCCTGAAAGCTCATTTCCTTGAATGTTCCTGCCATTCATTCAGTGGTCAGCCAACGAATCAAGAGTCAGCAGACACTATTCTTAATCAACAAACTAAGGCAATGAAGAAAGAAGCTCAATGCGGCCAATGGCATAGCAGTGCTGTTGGATGGATGCGTGTTGGGACTTACAGAATGCTGAGGTAACTGTATGAGAAGAGTGGCAAGGTTCCAATCAGATGGTTGTGCTCCAAAATTCTGATTGGTGTACATTGTGCAGTACAGCGACCAGAATGAATGAGAGAGGCTCGTGAGCAACATGCAGGCAAGTGTAGCTGCAAATTTATGCTGCCTAGCCAGCATGATATAGCTACTTCAAACATTTGCACATCAAGAAGTTCAGAGTGTTAGAGTTTAGCCCTCAATCTCATTTTTTGTATTGGTACTTTTTATATCAAAGTTTAGTGTAGTTTGTAGTTTGTGTGGGTTGGGTGTTACACCAATATCCCAACCTTACCAAAATGTGATCACCCGAAATCTCCACTGCAACCTACCAATTGGATATTTCAGCCGATCTTTAGGATTGGCCCCAATTCCCTACCCACACATCTCTTCCCATTTCTATTTTTTAGGGTTGCTCTGCCTGGTCAATTTCAAGGACGTGCGCTACATTCTATCGTAGGTGAACCCCCACCAAATCATTTCTTGACCCCCCGTCCACATTCAGGTGTGCGGCGCATGTACTGAACCCCTAGGTTTAACAGTCGCTGGTTGTGCTTGAGACAAAGGAGCCACTGCGGCTTTGTGGCATCGCCATTTTTTGTGGGCTAATCAAACAAACTGTTAAGGTTGAACAACAATGCTAGAACCCCACACAACATTCAATCAAGTTGCTAAGGATGCGGTGCGGTGGAGGGTGGATGCGCATCATGCCCGCTTGAGCGTTGCGCTTTCATACAGCGTCCAAAATGCTAGCGTCTGGACGCTGGATCGTCTTTCTCCACACGACATCTCGCTGCCAAATCCGCCGCGCAGATCTGGCACTAACATAACATGGGTGAGTTCAACCTTGTGGCATACTTTAAACATACAAAAAAAAAAAAAAACCAAACAAAACAAAACAAAACCAACTGTTTTGAGTCAAACAGAACCGCACTTTCTTTCCCTACAGAAACAGGGTCTGTCTCAAACTTGTACTAGTTAGGTTCGAAACGGCGTGCTCGGCTTGACTAGGGGGGCTAATCCGCGTCGAACCCAACCTGAACCCTGAACACTTCAGATCCCCTATACTTGAACCCAAGTAGGCTCGAATAGGCCAGCCAGTTCGACCTGGTTTGACCCAAACAGGTTCAAGTTTGGTATTTATTCAACACTAACAAACAATGTACAATGAGTGATGCACGAGTGAGGAATGATGCACGATGCAAAGTGCAAACAAGATAGGCATGAGCCAAACAAACAACCGGACGGGTTAGGGTTTTTGCTGCTCGTGTCGAGCCGATTCAATGTCGAACTGGACTGTTGAGCCGGTTCGAAGATCGACATTCAAATATCGAACCGAATTGAGTTGGTTCGAACCAGGGGCGGTTTGATTAAAAACCAAACTGGTTCGGTTTGACCTCAACATCCCTCTTCTGACATCCCCAACTCAATTGTCGGGGAAGTGGGCGGATGTGTGAGCGACA